CTTGTCGAGGATTCTCATTTGGGATGTTTTCTTCACTTAGTGTGAAAACCACAGTAAGTTCTCTAGAGTAAGGTGGTTAAAGTTAACAGTCCTTAATTTCCTGGTGCGTTGGTATTTAACAAATGAGAGCTGGCCGTGCTTTACTGCCTCCAGATTCTTTAACTTTGAACTATTATGTAGTTCATCAAGCCTTCACTTTGACCTTGCCATTTTAGGATAAGCCTTTTCCATGTTAGGACGCAAGAACAAACATTGCAGACTAGTGGGAGTCTGTGATGAAGGGATTGTATGTAGAAATTTATCTTGATTCTTAGTCACTGAAGTGCCAGGATTATATATCAAGGCTGATGGCAAGTGAAACTAATTATCAGAACCTAGATCTCAACCAAAATGCAATGAGACCTTATCTTTTGGCTAAGGTATTAGCACTTGCTTTACTACTGGATTGTACATCTTTCAGTTTAATTGGCACCATTACAGCTGTCTTGAGCAGTTGACATGCCTTAGCTTCTTAAACTGTTCCTCACTGGCTTATTGTGTGTGATGATATGTATGGTTTTAAACAATTATGTGTCTTCTGTTGATTCAAAGAGGTTCTTGTAATTGCGACAGGTAGAATGTTCTACTCTAAACTACTTGTGTACTAATTACTTGTATTTAACAGATGAAAATGGCCCAAATTCCACAATCCTCCTCTCAACAACAGGACCAGTTGCAGCAGCAACTGCCACAGGTTGGTTTAATCAGATAGAGTTCACTTCTGATTTTATCTTTGTTGATATCTACCAACAACCATGTCCGCATAAGTACTTCTAACAATGTAACTGTTTATCTTGCATGTGGCTTCTCGTTTTTTTTCTTTTCATGTTTCAAAATTTTTTATTTAATTTTTAGAGAAGTTAAGTTACCTTACTTATCAGAGCCAATGGAAGAGAAGTTTACCTATCTTCCTCCTGTGATTCAGAATGGAAGAAAAAGGAAGCAGCATTCGTCGTCTGGACCTGCCAATAGTACTGGCACCGGAAATACTGTTGGCCCTTCACCAAGCTCACCAGCATCAACTCATACACCTGGTGACGGGATGACTAGTGCCAGTAGTCTGCAGCATGTTGGCAGTGTGTCAAAAAGCATGATGATGTATGGAGGAGATGGAACTGGTGGTATAGCATCCTCTACAAATCAGCTGGTAAAACTTGTCGTCTTTGATCTACATTCTTTGTATTTTGCACTTTGGAGCATGTTATATTTGTAAAAAAGTACTTAGTTATCTTATAGCTTCCAGTATTTTTGATGAATAAGAAAGTTTATTAGTTTTTTTATGCATTTTGAAGTTAAATTTGATATATATCATCTCCGGTATGCCTTTATTGTACAGGATGACTTGGAGACGTTTGGAGACATTGGTTCCCTGGAAGATAACGTGGAGTCATTTTTATCAAATGATGGGGGAGATGGTAATATCTATGGAGCAATGAAACAAACGATTACTGAGCACAAACCTGAGTCTTCTAAAGGCGGTAATGCAAGTTTGACTTGTATACATGCTTTCTTTGTTGTATTTGTTGCCAGTTCACTAAGAGGATAAATTATCTCAGGGTTCTCCTTCGGTGAAGTTGGTTGTATACGCACAAGGAATAAAGTCACTTGCTGCCATTTCTCATCAGATGGAAAGCTGCTCGCTAGTGCCGGACATGACAAAAAGGTAGAAAGGCACTTCCATATAATCTAACATCTTTAGCATATGTGATAATTGGATGCCTTTTAATGGAACTCCTTTTTACTTCATCAACAAATGGGTTTCATTTCATTCCAATGGTGGATGTGCTTTCAGTGGTTAAATCTTCGTTATACTTCACTACTGACTGAGCATTTTCTGCTGTACTTTTGTTTTTCACTAGATCAGTTGTCCTTATAAGTTCTTTCCTCCTGTGTATTTATCAGGCTGTTCTGTGGAACATGGATACCTTACAAACGGAGACCACCCCAGAAGAACATCAATTCTTGATTACAGATGTCCGGTTCAGGCCTAATTCGACTCAGCTTGCAACTGCTTCATTTGATAAGTCTGTGAGATTGTGGGATGCTGCCAATGTAATTGTTTAGACATTTTCTGCTGAATAATTATTAATCACCTTGTTGAAGCAGGCCTTACCTCTAGTCGCTTACAACATGACACCTGATAGTTCATATTTTTAGATATCCGATTGTCATGTATTTTTCAACAATATGTATATTTTTTAACTACATATTCACACTCACATGATCCCTTGTCAAATTTATTTCTTTTGCAGCCTGGCTACTGTTTGAATTCATACACCGGGCATTCTTCTCATGTTATGTCGCTGGATTTCCATCCGAAAAAGAATGATCTGTTCTGTTTCTGTGATAGCAACGATGAGATTCGGTACTGGACTATTAGTCCATTCTCATGTACTCGAGTGTCAAAGGTTTGCCTTTTAGTTTTCATTATGTTTAATTGATTTGTTGTGATAATATCCCTAGAACTATCTTCAAACTGTCTCCTCTCTCTATTTGTAGCAAGGAGGCAGTGCACAAGTGAGATTCCAGCCAATAACTGGTCAGCTGCTGGCAGCTGCATCAGATAAGGTGGTATCCATCTTTGATGTCGAAAATGACAGGCAACTGCAGTCTTTCCAGGTTTTTCTTCAACTATTATGTGTGGTGGATTACATCAACTGTTACTTAACAACCATCTATGTTTCTTGCACTTTCATATTTTCTGTTTGTTCCAACCATGATTCCTCACTTGGCAAGATAATTGCGTTTGCAGGGACATACTGGAGTGGTGAACTACCTTTGTTGGGATCTCAATGGTGATCTACTGGCATCAGTAAGTGAGGAGTCTGTCAAAGTTTGGTCACTGAACACTGGTGATTGCATCCACGAGCTAAGTTCAAACGGAAATCAGTTCCACTCTTGTGTATTTCACCCTAGTTATTCAGCTCTATTGGTGATTGGAGGAATGAGGGTAAATATTTGTTCTTTTTTGCAAATCATTCCTGTGAATGTTATTCAGAAAGTTTACCCACTTACAAATCTTGTTGTCTACAATTTTACTAATTCTTGTTTTGTGAATCCATGCCTACAGTCTTTGGAGCTGTGGAACATGGTTGAGAATAAAAGCATGACAATTCCAGCACATGAAAACATTGTCGCCGCTCTAGCACAGTCACCAGTGAGTGGAATGGTTGCTTCTGCAAGTCATGACAGTTCTGTGAAGTTATGGAAATAAAACTAGGAGAGGATTTGATGCCGCGATATATATGCGCTTCAGGTGTTAGGGAAAAGTCCGTCTATGTTGTTTTAGTGTATTGTTGATCAGAAAATATCAATTTTTCTGCTTGTTAGTCATCACATTAGAGTTTGGTTTGCTTAAAGCAAGTTGAGCATACTGATTGCTGAGCAATGGTTCGGTAGTGTAATGTCTGCAACTGTTCTCAGTGATTAACAACTAATAATAACATGATATCAAGTTTAAGCTTATTTCGGCTGTACAATATTCGACCCATTTTGAGTTCTTCCCAATCAAACCAAACACAGAGGGGGAGAAAAAATTTAGGAGGTCTTCCTAGTACAAGCCAAAGACTCATCCTGTTTGTTACAACTTTTAGTCTTGGTTTCAATTTTTCCAGATGTATCAGAACCCTACATCCACCCCCTTACGTATGATTATGATATATGCGCTATTTGTTGCCTCTTTTATTTCTTTCTTAATTTGCAGAAAAGGGTCTAATTAAAATATACTTGAAGTAGTGAAAATGGTATACAACTCCTATTGGCTCTCGTATATTCTCTCCATCCATCCACCCTTTGGGTTCAATATTAGCCATTTTATTAACAGATCAAAATTTAAAATAATTAAATAATTCTTTCAATTACATGGCTCAATCAGGTTGCAATTTAATTATTTAATATAGTTTTAAATCCACCCATTTACACACACATTTTTAACTAAATCCGTCACAGTACTTATTCAACTCGTCTTCTCCAAAACAAAAAAAAAAAAACTAATAAAAGAGAACCATAAAACTTCCTTCTCAAATTTACACTCTATTGGGAAATGGAGTGTAAATTTGGAAACGAAGATTTTAGGGTTCTTTTTTATTAATTTATTTTTTGTATTGGATAGGCGGGTTTAATAAATATTGGGGCGGGTTTAGTTAAAAATGGGTGGGTTTAAAATTATATCAAATAATTAAATTACAAACAATGGTTGAGCATCACGTAATTAAAAGGATTATCTAATTATTTTAAATGATGCTCCGTAAATAAAATGGTTAAAATTGGACTCAAAGGTGGATGTAGAGGGTATTTGTGAGCCAATAGGCGGATAGAGAGGGTATCTGGGAGCCAATAAATGGATGAGAGGTAATTGTGCATCATTTTCAATAATTTCACGATATTTTAGATTCTTTTTCAATTTTTTTTTAGTTTATGGCAAAATGAAAAGTTAGTGAGTAACTGGGAAAGAAAAAATGTACGGGAAGGAGCAAAAGGTACATGAGGGTTTGGCAAAAAAATGTTGTAGGGGAGGGATGGTGGGCATCATCTTAAGATAGGATATAGGAGTAGTACTTATTGCATATAGCAAAGTTGGCAACTAGTAGAGTAGAATAATTATACATTTTTCTTCAAAAGGTAATGGATTTGAAGCTTTAGAAATAAAACGAGAGAAAGTTACACAATGCTTATAGCGTTAAAAGAATTAATTACATTCAATTCATACTATTTGTAAATTATAAAAATCCTTTAAAAATTGACGGAATTCGGGTAGATTCCAAAACCATCTGATGCATAGCGTTTTAATTTTCGAATATATTTCTCAATGTCCCGATACATCATGTTTCAACTTTGGATACATCACTCAACATTTTGATACGCATAAAGCAATGTATTCGACCATTACATCTCGTAAAGTGATGTGTCCGAAAATAAAAGAGATGATTTTTTTTGTAATTTTTTCAAATAATAGAATGAGTTTCGTTTCAAATTTAGTTGGCGCCAATGCGAATACACGATATAAATGGGTGGGAAAATAAAAATAAAATAAAGTTCTCCTTCCATCGTAAATGTAAAGGCACTTTAATTTAAAGTATATCTTAAATATGGAGAAGAGAGTGAAATTTTAAGTGAAAAACTTAAATACTATTTTATCATTAATAGGAGGAACACATATATATTTTTTTAAAAAGAAGTGTAATAGCATTTTGTTGTAGTGGGGGATAAAAGTTGATCGAATAACAACACAAACTTATCAATTTTTTTGCAAATTAATTATTTTTAGAACCAGAAAAGTAAATTCTGCCTACCAAAACCTTAAATACCTTCACACATCATACAATTTGACTCCATTAAACCAAAGTTTGATCTCAGATAAAGATGGATCATCAATTGCTCCCTTTTTACTATTGAATACTGGTCCAGTGGGTGTTCATGCTTGGTAAGGTCTTATACTACTCGTGGTTTCATCATCTGAAAGATAATCTATTAAAAGTGAAAGTAATTATTAATAATTACCTGAAAAACATTAATTAGTAAATATTACTTATAACTTCATGTTTTGTTTGTTAAGTTTTCATTTGAAAGATGCAATTTTAGAGGGTGAGATACCATTCAACAAGGCCCATGGGGTGCATGCATTTGAATACCATGGAAAAGATAGTAGAATGAATGGATTATTCAACAAAGCTATGCAAAATGTCACTTGCATTGCAATGAAGAAAATTGTTGAGTGTTACAATGGATTTGAAGGAGTAAAAGAGACAATAGATGTGGGAGGTGGACTTGGAATATCATTAGCTTCTATAATTTCCAAATATCCTAATATCAAGGGCATTAATTTTGACCTACCTCATGTCATCAAAGATGCCCCTACTTATGAAGGTAACAACTACCAAAACCTTACTATTTTTTCTTACTTTAGTATATACCAACAATTTAATATTGGTCATTTTCTTGTGTTTGTCCATGATATCGTACCAATTTATTTTTAAAAAATTATATATTTTATGTACATTTAATTGATATCGAAAGATCAAATATATTAGGTATAGAGCATGTTGGAGGAGACATGTGGGATAGTATTCCTCAAGGGGAGCTCATCATACTGAAGGTCAGTATTCTTGTCATGTTGTTATTTTCTATCCTTCATATATAAAAGAATGATAGTTTTTTTTTCTTTTTTATGATTGAAATTTTAAAATTTAAACTTCAAAAATTTTCAATATTTTTCTTACCTTTAATTACAGCATGCTTTCATACACAACTACAAAAATGTCTTTTAACACATTTTTTAAGACGCAAGTCTCAAAAGTATACTTTATTTTAAATTTCGTAATTTGTCAAATAACACCATTAAAAGTGTATTTCCTCATTTGGAGTCGTTTTGCAAAGTGATAGGATCTAGTAATCTCTGACTTGATAATAATAATAATAAATGTAGGGGGTATTTCATAGTTTGGATGATGAAGATTGTGTGAAAATACTGAAGTATTGTTGGAGAGCATTGCCAAATGATGGTAAAGTAGTTGTAATTGAACAAATACAGCCAGAATATCCAGAGACTAATCTTCTCTCTAAGCATTTATTTACTTTAGACATATCAATGATGATTATGTTTCATGGAGGCAAAGAAAGAACAAAGCAACAATTTGAAGATTTGGCTAAACAAGCTGGATTTACATCTATCAAAGTTGTGGCTCGAGCATATTATTCTTGGCTCATAGAACTCTACAAGTATTAAATTACCTATACTTTCATTCATTTCTGATATAATAAAACTCTCTTCGTCCTAATTTATGTGATACTGTTCGAATTGTGAGAGTCAAACTTTTTGATTTGATCGTAAATTCAGGCACATATAGAATCTTTAAATACTTAGAAACTATATATGTCAAATCACGATCAAAATAAAATTTTGTTTGATTGTCAAAATTCAGAAAGGGATATATAAATTAAAACGAAAGAATTAATTGGTTTATGTATTTGTTAAACTATTTCCATTTATGTTTGGTTGTTCGATATTGCTCATGTAACAAGATTTTCCTTGAATAAAATAAGGTCCAAATAACATTATCTTGGATTTGTTCTTTTTTTTAAAAAAAAAACTGTAATTATTATTTGATGTTTGGTTGATGTCCGATCTATATCGGTTAGTAAGTGTTGATCCAAATTTAATTCTTTAGGGTAATGAGGAGTAAAGGATAAAACTAATTACTTTCTGTCATTAAATACTTATTTTTCAAATAATCATTTAATGTCTGTTTGAAAAGTCATTAGGTAATTATTTTTCAAAATAAAAAAATAAAAATAAAAGGAAGAAATTAGAAAGTAATTCACTTGTAATTACATCATATAATTTACCAACAATTCACTTTCTCTCATGCGAATTGGAGTGTAACTACATCCTATCAATTATATTCAATTATCAGTTGATCAAGTAATTACATGATCAATCAAACAAGACGAACAATATAACTACACAAATTTGTCTCACTTTTAGTACTCCCTCCGTCTATAATTATTTGTCATGTAAAAGTCATGCACACCCTTCAAGAAAAATTTAATATATTGTGTAATTATACTAATATAATCCTATTAAAAATATCAAAAGTCTACCTAATTTTTAAATTGAACTACATTATTATTAAGGACAAATTTGGAAAAAAAATGACTAATTATTTCTTGATTATTTAAATTGACAATTAATCTTGAATATCTATTTTTAGTATACCTGCCAAACAATTGTGGACGAAAGGAATAAGTCAAAACAATTGTGGACGGAAGGAGTATTATTTATGACTTTGATGTAGGAGTTGTCAACTTTTAAACTTGATTTTAAATGATGTCTCTTTCACTAATAAACCCAAACTTAGAATTAAATGACCAATTAATGGCCTTTTAGGCTTTTGCTAGGTCACCCTCCATTGTCTCTATTTCTTTCTCGAAGTATAAGTTTCATTCCCTCCGTCCGGAATTGTTTGTCATATTGCGTTTATCAAAAATTAATTAGACTAATTTTTCAAGGTAAATTAGATTACATTAATTTGATATTTTAAACAAAAAAATTAGATATTCTAAAACTATATGAAAAATATTATAAATTGCAATTTTTTGCATACTAGTATGATAAAAAAATACATCTTAAAATGTTAGTCAAAATTTTTATAAATTAACTCTAAAAATAAAAATCATGACAAATAATACTAGACGGAGGAGTATGAGCAATGCCAGCATTTTAGGAAGTGAGCTGGTAAACAAAAATGCAAGTTCACCACAATTTATGAGCAATGCTCTTTTTTAGGAGTCTAGAGTATAATTTAATTTTGACCAATAAATATAAGATACCACTCTATCATTTAAGAAGATTTAATTATCATTTAATATTAATATTACTTTTCTGTTCATTTTTATTTGTCATATTACGCTTTTCGAAAGTTAATTTAACTAATTTTTAAAGTTAAAATTAAATTACATTAAGTCGATATTTTAAACAAAGAAATTAGATATTCAAATACTATATGAAAAGTATAATAAATTACAATTTTTTGCATATCAATATGATAAAAAAATACATCTTTAACTATTAGTCAAAGTTTTTATAGTTTGACTCTAAAAATAGAAACCATGACAAATAATAGTGAACGGAGAGAATATTAGATAATTTAAGATGTGGTTGTACATCATGATAAATAAAATTCACAATATACGTAAAGCAATACCGCCTAACAGACACATAAATATAATGCGACAAGAATAACTTTTAGCGATAATAAATGAATATATCAATGAAGAGTGCTAAAGTCTTTATCTTCATTAGTAAAGTGTCATTAGATTCAGTATGACTTAAAACTTTAAGGACATATACAAAAAGTTTTAATGTTAATTATGCTAAAATTACATATTTAATGGCAATTGAGTTATTACCATTAATTAATTGCCGCTAAAAATTATTTTACCTAGTAATACCTTCGTTAATTCATATGCTAACTTAGATTTCTTTTAATGTCTCTATATTACATGATTCATAAAGTAACCACCCTCCGTGGTCCTTTTTAATTGTTCATTATATTAAAAGCATCTTTTGATTTATATTATATCAAAGAGAAAAGTATAATATACATTTTTCATATATATATATATATATATATATATATATATATATATATATATATATAT